ATTGTTGAACAACTTTACTCAGTTGAGACTTGACCATTTATGAGACTTATCATTTACTTCCATGTCTGATTTCCTATGTCCATCTCTTTTATATTTGCTTGTACCTATACTATTTTCTTTGATTCCACTAGAGAGATATTTCTGTGATGGTAAAACATGTCGTTGCATAGTATTGGTGCATGATAGGTTTGACATCCTTGGATTCACTTTGGACTGCAGCCTTGTGTGAACCCAGGGGCGTCGCAATATCGGTTCCTCGAGTGTTTTGTATTTGCTTGTTAGGTTTTCTACATAAAGATCCTCAGTCGGAGGTTAAATAAAATTGAGCTTAACGATGACAATCAAAGGAGGTTAGCGGATACCGGAATGAAGCAATGATGAATTCAAAGTCAAATACAAGATCAAGCTTCATCCTCAACCAAGTTGAGCTACATTGAAGACCTATAGCTTGGGTAAATAGTTTTGTAGTTTAAGTTTATACTTTGCGTGTTTATACTTAGAGCTCAAATTATGCACACACATAATTTATGTTTTATTGCTTTCAAGTTTAGCCACGTAAATATGAAATAAATAGATATAGCTATATACACACATATTTGTTTCATGTTTATACATGCTTGAAATGATTTCATTAAAATCAAGCTTTAACAATCTCAAACCAATGAAATCATGTTTACCACTTTTATATTTTTGAAAGTTTGCACAATATGTGTTTACGGATTAAAAGAATCCATTTTATTATTTTACATCTTTTATAAAGTCTATTAATCCATTTAAAAGAAGTTTCAAACTTGTTTGAAATTATTTTGTCAAAATCATATGTTTTTGAGATTTCGTATTTTGACCAATTTTGCAAAATGATAAGTTTTCACAAATGGAAAATGCAATTTTAAAAATTCTTTTTGTAACATATTTATTTTCATGTTTATAAACATTTTCCAAAGTTTTACAATCTTTAGACTTTATTTTCTATTTTTAAAAGGGGTTTGAAATTAATTTTTACTGTTCAAAAAATCCTTGTGCACGTTATCAGTCGACTGACGAAACTCATCAGTCGACCGAAAGAAACGGCCTGAAATAAGCAAAAAGTTTCTGCTTAGTTGACTAATGAACTATCAGTTGACTGATGCAGGTTATCAGTCGACTGATGAGTTCATCAATCGACCGTTGACGGATGAGCGACTTGTAATGGTTAGCTCATCAGTCGACTGATGAACAGTCTCAGTCGACTGATGAACAGTCTCAGTCGACTGATGGCATGTAACGGCTAGTTTTCCAGTCTTATGCAAATTCTAGGATTTTGCCTTTTTCCTTGGTTTCCTCTTGGTTTTGGGGTTTGTTTTGTGATCCTATATATACCCCATGCCCTCTAACTTCTGATATGACCAAGAAAAATTTTAAAACAACTTTATAAGGATTTAAGTTTGTTTAATTGTGTTTTACAAGTGTTTATGTGAAGAGGTTTTCACAAGAGGAAGTTGAGATCATTCTTTTCCCGTTTGGGCTTCAATTTCATTCTCTCTCACTCTTGTTTTCGGAGAAGTTTGATCTAAACTCAATTTCTAGCTTTATATATATTTGTTGATTAACCATTTCATTAAGCTAGATTTCATATTGAGTAAACTCAATTTCTAGCTTTATATATATTTGTTGATTAACCATTTCATTAAGCTAGATTTCATATTGAGTTTAGTTTTGATTATTGCTCAATTTCATTAAGCTAGATTTCATATTGAGTTTAGTTTTGATTATTGCTCATTGTTTACACACACACCCCTTAAGCTTAAGTGTTTTCATACATAGTATATTGGGGTTATGAGATTGTATCTTTGAGTGTGGGCTTAACTTAGTTCTTATCTTGTTAGAGAACAAAACACTTTGTATTTGAGCTTATTTGTTGAGAGATCATATTGTAATACACAAGTACACCGAGAGGAGTGTGTGGTGAGAGACGAGGTCGATTCCAAGAGGAGTGGTATCGGTAGTAAAGTCTAGGGAGAGGTAGTAAATCCGAACACTTGAGGAAGTCGACACGGGCCATGCCAACACTTAGAGGGTGTATTGTGTGATTACAAGTATGAGTGTTGTAAACGTTTATCGGTAAGCGTTGAAAACCGATTGTGAACGTTTTCGATGAACGTTGAAAACCTGTTAAGATAGTGGAGATTCTTCTCGAGAGTGAGGAGCGAAGACGTAGGTCGAGGGTTACTGAACTCCGTGATCATATTGTGTGTTTGTGATTGTCATTTGCGCACTATCTCATTTGCATCTTGTGTTCATGTTTATTTCGCCCTTTTTTTAATTACATATCATTGCTCATAATTTGTTAAATATCATATTTGCTAGGATATAATTGTTAATAAGTTTTAAATTGGCATTAAATCAGATTAGATTGGCAAATAGCCTGTTCACCCCCCTCTAGGGTAATTTCAAAATGTGTACCAAGAGTTTGTGTTAAAATTTGTGGATTGATATATATTAGCAGGAGTGAGATTTTCCAGCTGAGTGTGGGCTGGAAAATCTCTGTAAAATGGTCGGGGTTGGGAACCTCGACCATTTCTTGTGTAGTGGCCACTCTGCTAAATGGTCGGGGTTAGGAACCCCGGCCATTTCGAAATGCCTAATTCGAAATGGCCGGGGTTCCCAACCCCGATAAATTTAAAAATATGTGTTAAAATAGTCGGGGTTGGCAACCCCGACTAATTAGGACCACGCTTAAAAAAAACCGACCCACTTTCTGGCCACGGCGCTGACGTGACGAGAAAATGAATCGATTTTTATAATAAAATTTGAATAAGGTCAAATTTTGAGAATAAAATCGAGAATGAGTTTATTTAGAAAATTACTTCTTTTAAGTACATAATAATTTATAGGATACAGCAGTTGCAAAGTGCTATATCTAAGAACGAGCATAGCAAAATCCGATAACCGAGAACAAGCGCGCCAGCCCACAGCTTTATTCGCTTCGTCCTAAGAGCATGGGCAGCAAGCTCCCAGCTCCGCTCTCAGCTCCGACGTGGCCAAGCTCCCAGCTTTAACGCCCTCCAACAGCCTCCGAAGCGCTCCCAAGGACCTCCCAAGCGCTGACGTGGCTGCCTCCAGCTTCGGAGCTCCCAAGCGCTCCACAAATTTGTGGAGCGCTTGGGAGCTCCCAACTGG